TCAACATCTACATCTGAAGTTCGCAGAAGAAGCTCCTCCGGTCAGGAAACTCTCTCGCTGACCGAAGTCCCAACCACCGACTCGGGTTCCTGCCTCAGACACGCCGACAGGGGAAGCCGAAGCCTGGTTTCTCCCAAGATTCGGCACGTACAGAGTCAGTCTAACTCCCAAACCACGAAGATGGTGGTAGGTACCACTTGGAGTGAAAAAGTGTGACAGTGGATGACAGTGGTACCTGCTGAAGACTTCAGATATTATAGTATACTGAGTGAGAGGCAATCAAATAGTCTTCCTCTGCAGATTCACCCCGACCGCAGCTGATGAGCTTTACACCAGCTGGGCGCTTTCCTTCATGGCTCCTGTGGTTCGAACCAAAAAGGGTTACACCAGTATGTTCCTTGACATCACCGGACAGCCAATCCATCCTCTTCGCATGTGGCAACCGTGAATCTGTGCTTCTGCTTCTCCCGTTTCAAAAGCCTCGTTCCCCCCCAAATGGGTTCACCTTGAGACACCCTCAGTCCCGGTCCTTTTGGTGCCCCGTCAATCAGTGTGTCTTTCTTCCATCGAAGGTTACTGAGCTTCTGGCAATCTTGGGATCTTCAGGCAAAACAAGAACACCAAACAGACCGCGCAGCGCGCGCAGCACGGTTCTTTTGGTTCTCTCACCCCTCGCCCAGAAACCATGCCTGCTGTGCCCGTCGGGCTGCGGTCTTCCGGGGTCCCGCATGCAAGAAGAAGACGACAACTAAATGTCTTTTGTTGTTTGTCATCATAGATATTCCTCCCGCACTAAAACTATGTTACAACATGCACAAGTCTCTGCAACTGTGATGATCCCCGGGAACTGTCTCTCCTAATCAAGAACCCTGGAAGAAAGAATAATTAGATACCCAAGATCACCCCAGCACACATACACAAATCCATTTATGATCGTCCTGTGCACTCCACATGCCGCGCCCCAACCGACTGGCAAGCTGCTGGAGTCAGTGATGGTTTGTGCGAATCCAGTGAGGGCGAACTTTCCCCTCCCAGCTCAACGCAGGCTCATGGAACCATGTGAGTGCAGCGTGTCGAGCTCTTGGGTACATCGGTATGCCAGTACAGTGAATAACGGTCAAGTTCCAGGCCTTTCTCACAAATAGTGGTGGGCTGTTACCGACTGTTACTGGTAATGGGCCACACCCTGGATATGATGGATCTGCTAGTCTAGAGTCTAGCCCTTTCTTGGCAAATTGCGTGGCTTCAGAAAGAGCAAGGAGAGCTCCGTTGACGCAAACACAAACAAAACAACTCTTGTCCAATTCAATGGGCTGGACACATACAGTATACATATCTTTTAGTCACAAGTCACAACCCTTGCCCATCATACTGTCCGCAGTGAGTTAATTGGTGGGTTCTCCAATCAGCGGATTCTGCTGCAAAGTCAGCAACAAGTGTCGAACAAAAGAGAACAGCCCGGCTTATCCAAGAAAATGTCAGGTTGCTGCTGTGCGTGGTCCGTCAGTGTCTATGCTATTTTCAAGAGTAATTACAGTAATTTTGTCTTCTTTCAGAAAGCACAGTGTTGGTACGACTGTTGCCTATTTGAGATGACCAAGAGTTCAATTTGTTTCATGTTCAACATGCTAGCACAGGCAGCCGTTGTCATGTTTCTTCCATGGCTCCAACGACCTCGCCGACCAATGGCTCCATCGCAAAGCCGCCCCCCTGTCTCCGCTCTGTCCATGACCGAGCAGGCCGGACCTTTGCAAATGACTTCGGTCATGCTTCGGAAGTGGCTACACTTATGATACTTATGGTGCTGTCGATGTGTTGCTTCTGATTCCGGGTTAGATGGGCAACTGAAAAAGAAGGCCCAGCGGAGAATCTCATGATTTGCTACATGTTACAAGCAACCCATACAACAATCCAATACTTGAGGGATGCTCCCTAACTCAACCCTCATGCAGGGCAGGGTTGAGCGGCCTATATAAATTGACTCGGTACCTTGACGCGGCCCGTTTCACATAGGGCCAGTCATTTTTAGGCCAAAAAAGGCACAGGGCAAGGTTGTACCACTGTTGAAGAACATCCAAAAAAACCACAGATGCATACCAGCACCCTGCGACAGTTCCCTCTGGCAGGGAGGGTTCAGGGATTTCACGTGGTACACTGGTGCTGGCCCGGCACCTCTCACGCTGGCAGAGCAGACGCCGAGGTCGCGACTGGTGTTCGCGATTTCACGACAGCGCCGCATTCCGATTCCTTCAGGCTTCCATGTTGAATCTTTGAGAGGGTATAAATGTTGCGGATTAGAAACATGGAACAGTCAGAACAACAAAAGAAAATGGCAACCTGCAATGTTTCATATTATCTAAGACTTAAGATATTTTGTATGATAATTACAATATATACTTATTGTGGAGAATTGCAAATTCACAGGTAAATCATGGTAAACTCCCTGGTTAACATCTTTTGAAGATGGGTTCGGTCATGTTACTATCTACCCAGGATTTCATTGCGAAGTCTGTGCCCCCAACTGCGAAGTCACAGGGCACACAAGATTCAACGACGCATCTTTGAAATGCCCTTGTCTTGTTTCTGAGCTCCAGTGGATAATCGACGCAAAGCACATACAACTTTCCAGGGGAAAGGTCACTATAGGCTATATAGTAGGTCATGCTCATGCTCTTCAAGACTTCAATTCACCTTCCAATCGCCTGTGTGTGTCATCCCATACAGATCCACTCAAAACAAGGAGTTGTTAGCACCATCCTCTATATGCCATAACTAGCCGTCTACTGCACCCATCAAGCCCAGTGTCTAAAAATCAGGCTTCGGCGACTCACCTGAGTGGACCAAAATCTGACAAGACCCGGACTCGATGCAGCGTCACCCCAAGGACCCAATGCAGAATTTGTGCAGTCCTGACGTCCACTGACGTCTCCAACCAGCTGTATGTGATAGGGACGAAAAATTCCTGCTGGCTTTGGAAAGACCCCAACAGGAAGCGCCATGGTCCTCTAGAATCTACATCCAGAGCGTTCGGCGGCACGAGTGCACTGAGTGAAGCCTGAACCGAAAAAACAGCGCTGTCCCGTGAAAATTGGAAGAGCAAAAAATAGTGCGCAAAAGAAAAACAGCGTCGGGCTGACGAGCCCAATGAAGTCACTCCAAGCCCGCCGGCGAACGGTCCATGTTCAACTAGAATAAAACGTTCAGGATGCACTTGGAGGGTAAACCCGTGTCCATCACCCAAGAAAACTACAAACATGACTGGGATGGCCAAATCATAATACACGAATGTCCACTGTCCACCTATGAATAAAGGCTATAGGGACCTCCACCTTGAAATGCACTGAATGGAATTAAGGCACCTCAAAATCCCCACCCAAAAGTTTTAAACGTGCAGAATATTGGCCAGAATGTGGATGGGAATTGGTGAAAAGGCCCTGAATTGGGGGTACCTTGTTGTGAGATGTGTTGGAATCATTCATGATGATCATTCATAAAGGATTTTAGTAAAGGAAATGACACCAAACAGTTTGAGGCTTTTGGATTCTCACCTTTCATGTAGTTATGTTAAAGAAAGAACAACAATAACTAAGTTAGATAGAAAAACCTTAGTAAATAGTTATGTGGTTCACCAAAAGAAAACAACATGGGTTTTATTCATGGTAGTTTATTAACAAGTGCAATGGGATGTTTGGCAAAACAGCTAAGCTCTATTTCGGTGCTGTTTATGAACCATAAGTGGACATTAATTGATGTCCTTCCTCTTCTACACCTTGTTTGGGCCTTGGGATTGCGATTGATGAAGAAAGAAACATCATAAACCACCATTCCTTCAGCAATATGGAGGATCCCTTCAAAGTCTCCCCCACCCACACTCCACACAGAAAACTTCGGATCACCCTTCGGCCGATTCTCACACTTCAAGACTTAATGAACACCCTTTGACCGAATATTGTGGCGTGATCTTTTCGGACAAAGGAGTGAGGAGTGGCCCCGTTTCGTCACGTGAAATGTGCTAAAGCATTCGATGCTTTCCGGGCAAGAGATGGTTCTATTTGAAGCGCACCTTGGCCTGCGAACAATCACAAAGTTGTTGCATGTTGCAGCCCACAGCACTTGCAGCACCTTCCGTCAAATCATCATCGATGCACAAGACCAACCATCAAAGACTGTATATGCGAACTTTTGTTCCGATTTCTTCCGGCACCCGAGTTCTTCATGTTTTTTTTGCTTTCGGTGCTGTGAGATCCTATCAGCCCTGCGTCTCAGTCCTGACAGCGATGCCATCGAAAACAAGGACGAGGACCGAGGGTTCTGAAAATCCGTAAAGACATGTGTGTATTTATATGTATTTATATAGATATATCGAGGGGGATCTCCCACCGGGTGTTGGGATGGTCTTGGTCTATTTCCCTTCTTTTCTTCTTTCCGAGCTTTCAGAGTTCTTTGACCGCATGCATATTTATATGAATATATATATAGGGGGTGATCGAGGGGGATCTCCCACTGGGTGTTGTTGGTTGGTAAATTTCAGTCGATTTCCCCCAACCCTGGCAGAGGGTCGAACTGGGAGGTCTCTCTATTTGAGCTACACACCCACATGGAGGTCATCAACTGTTTTTCCCCGTCAAAAAATCAATTTTTTGTTGTCCTCCGTAGCCTACATGCACTTCATCGGGGTCATCCAAAAACTCGAGATCTTGGTCGACTGCTCGCGAAGTCCTGAACAATGTGTTCAGTCTTGCCACGAGAACCCATGTCTAATTTATGCCAATGAACCACAACTCTCACATAAGGCCAGGTTCCTCTTGGAGCGAGCCAGTCATTCAGAATCATTCAGATGTCAAAATCCCCTTCGCTCTTAAGTCCCTTCGCTCTTAAGTTGGAGGCCATCGCTAGTAGGGTGGAGGCATCGCCCTTAGGGTGGAGGCCATCGCTATTGGGTTGGAGGCTCGCTAGTAGGTTGCAAAGCCATCACTCCGTCCTATCCGCGAACCGGCGCCCTACCCCGCGCCGGCGCCCTTCCTCCGAAAACGTCTCCCCTCCTCATCGGAGTCGGGCGGGGAACAGGCGCGCGCCTTACCTGACTTCGTGTCAAGAAGTTCCCAGCCTTGGTTTCCCAGGACACTGAGGTCGTGGCAAACGGTGGTCATCCTGAAGCGAAACAATCATTCACAATCCAAATATGCCTACATTGGGGTGGTTTTGGGGGTCAATGTAAACTAAAATTAGCTACAGGGAATGATGAAAGCTACGCCGGATATGGGCCTTCTACTTTTTGTGCTTTCCCCCATTGGAGCTCCAGAAATTCACTGTACCGAGAGCCCAAGGGGCTCCCATCATCGCGCCGCTGCTTCTGGAAGCGCCCGGTGGACTTTGGCAGCGTGGCCTTCACCGTCTGCCTCGCCTGGAGAGGATGAGTGGAGCAGAAGGGATGCCATGAAGTCACAGAAGAAAAGACACCTTGCCTCCCTTTTAAGAAGACTACTAGTATATTCAATGTGTCTTGCCTGACAAAACCGACATGTTTTTTGTTCGTCTCTGCCAAAATATGTCTATAGTATGTCTCACAAAAGTCCAAGAATGGCGTCTCAGGCATTGCTCACGGCTTCTCAGGTGGAGTCCATCTGACGGCGCTTTTCGCTTGAGCGGAAGGGGGGTGAAGAAAAAGCATGGATTTCTCAGGTGGATCATGGATAGCCAGTCTCGATGCGATACAGGACATGCAATCCACATGCGATAGTCTTTGGAAAAGAGATCGGACGCCCAAAACTTCGTGCCTCGCGTTGGATCAAGCCATCATGGTCGACTAAGGCGTAGACATGTGAGCCGATGTCCAACTTCACCTGTGGCTCGACCCGGGTCTGTTTAGTAGTGACTTAGTGTTCTTTGTGGAGGCGAGTCAATTGCAGAGCTGATCCCTCCTCAAAGTATGCGGCGTCTTTGTTACAGACCCTCAATCATGGAATGAGGACTCCCTTCATCAGCACCATTCTCACAGGTGCTTTTTGACGTTTCAGCGCTAACAAAACGGCATGACAGTACCGTGGACAGCTTTCAACGTGTCACGATGGTTTTTTTTAGCGCACCACGCCTCATAGGGAGCCCCAGGAAACTCAGGCGGCCAGCCCTTCTCCTCGGTGGAGAAAGGCAGCATCTTCGTGTAGCATAAATGTAGGCAGATTGGAACAACATCCAGTACCAACCTTGTCAAAGGTGATCTGTAAAACCAAAAACCTCCACTTGGACGTGCTCAAAGAAAATAGGAAGGGCATGAAAAAAACCGTAACAGAATCCAGCGGACGGTCACCTGATGTCACCTACCTCTTCGAGTCCCGTGAAACATGTCCAAGCACGTTTGGCACCCTTTGGAAGGTGCTGGTAGACTCATTGACATCTTTGACCCCTATTCGTTCCCTCGTTTCTCGATTTGCCCCAATTCGTTCCATCAAGGTCCAGTTCAGAAGGGGTGCTGCAAGGAAATCAGGTGATTCACATCATGAGAAATACTCATAAAGCAATGAACACGTTTCAACCCATTCTTTACTTTTTGCTCAGAAGGCTTCACAGATCTTCAGCCTGCGTTTTGAGCTCTGGAATCACTTCCTATGAGTCATCAAATCCTCCAGTGAAAGCACCATTGCATGGCCACCGATTTCATCCTCCAACTCGACGCTGACTGGCCACTGGCAGGCATTTTCTAGACCACTAGTTAAGTGTCCCTAAAAATCTAGGAAACAAATGAATAGTGCGAGCGCTATCCTGCGTCAATACTAGTAGCTTAAGTAAGCTACTAGCTGCCTCTTCTACTAGCTACCTACCTAGCTACTAACTACTACTAGCTACAGTACTCCCTCTACAGCCTACCCACCCCCCAAAAAAAGATGAAGGTTTGGCCAAGTGGCTCTGTACCAAAGGCCCACCACCACGCCTTCTTCCCAGGTTGTTTGGTTCCCTGGCGCTTCCACTCGACAAAGCACGCGATCGCCTTCTAAGAACCGTAGGCTCACGCCTGACATCACTGCTCCTGGCGCTCGTTCCGCAGGTCGCTCAATGGCGGGAAACGTCAAGCTGCTGCAGTCAAGCTTTTAGAGACTGAAACAGAGGTAGCGATATGGTTTCTCTGGGCATGTTACTCAATTAGTATGCTTTTGGGGCTTAATGTATCAGATCGAGAACGCTTTCGATTCTTATTCCCCATCTAGACTCTAGATTCGTACACAGCGCCATATGTCTTTTTTGGAACCCCCGGTCGGAAATGCTCATTCCGAAACAGCAAAAACCGGGAGGCCTGCAGCTTGGCCGGTTTTCGTGGTCTTCAAGCAACAAGCGCCAGATCCCTCCGCCTCGGAAACAATAAGCTCATGAGCCCCCTGAAACAATCCACAAATCCACCTGGTCACTCATACACACAGTATCTGTTCAATATCGATCTGTTTATCCACCCCTCTTTGGGTCTTTTTCTGCAACAAGGGGCCACGAAGCAAACACACAACTCATCCGCACCTTGCAACACGTTTGACAAGGCTCAGACTCGCTGTAGCCTCTTTTGAAACATTGCTTTCCCAGGTGTCTTGTTAGTTGTCAGTTTCACGTGCAAAAAAGAGCAGCTCTCAGGTCCAGCGGCGAGGTCTGGGCAAAGCTCGAAAATGCTGGGCACCAGCGCCAGGAGCACAGCGGGGTTGGGCGGGCTCACCCCGTGTTGCAGGGAGACATTCTCGTAGTCCGAGGCCCAGTTCTGGGCGGAACAACATGGCCCAAAAATGTGGAGGTCTGGCAGGTACATAGAAGTGATGGGGTGAAATCCAGCGAGCACATCAAAAAAGTATACTCTCCCGCAAGACTCAAATCTCGTTCGTGGTGATTGATGTAAGGCTCTGCCAAAAATGGTGGCATTGGTTCGCTAGGAGTTCTGAGGGGCTGGTAGATCCTGGCCTGGTCGTTCAAAGGTAGATCCTATCCTGTGACTCTGTGCATCTGCTCACAACTGGGTCACACCACCCACCCAAAGTACACAGAAAAGCTATGATGTCGCTCATGTCGTAGCTTCTTTGCTGAAATATGCCGTAGTTTCCCACCAAAAAAACGGAAGGATGATGAAAAATGAACTGGATTTCAATTTCTGTTTCCTTGGAAGTTCTGTAGTGCCGTCAACGACATGCCCAAGGAAATTCAGCCACAAAGCTTGCTGAAGAGCCACCCGTGTCACCCCAAAACTTGCGCCTGGCGCACTGGCGCCAAAGCAAATTACAAAACAATGCAATGTGATATCATCCAAGGTGCAAAAGGTGTCATCTTAAATCCATCCCGCTGGCACACGCTCTGCGGGTCCTTCTCTATGACCATCCGGCAGATTTTGGTCATCTCTAAAAAACTTGAGTATGGATTGAGAATCATCCTTAGCCGCAGCCGCAGAACCCAGCTTCGGCCGAAGAAGATCGGAGGTTTACGCAGGCCTCACCTGGATCCCAATGTCCGTTGGTGGGATTCTGTGGGCCCTTTGAGGAGGAAAGGCGGCTGCTTTTTGTTGATTAAAAAAGACACAGACAGGAAGTGTTCACAAATATCAACCAACAAGCAGTGCTTATAGTATCAAAGGTGGAGCTAGGGTACCTCATGTATTGACGCTAAATATCAAATAAACGTATACGTAATATACATTGACAATATTATATACAATATATTAATATATATACACAATATATATATATATATGCTGGCTTCGAGAAGCCACAGTAAGTAAAGGCACACTTGCACCAAGGTCTGCAGTTTGGACCATTACTATTCATACGACCAGTAACAAAAACAAATTTATTTTCTTGAAGTGGGGAACCACCTAACTAACTTGTCTCCCACCTTCTTCGAACTAAGCTGGGGGACGTAACTTGTCCAGCCACGTGTTCATGTCTTCTCAGCTAACTTGTCCCCCAATCGATTGTCCCTCACCCCCGAAGAAATACATCCACCTGGATGGATGATGGATGAGTTGTGTTCTTAGGACTCCATCAAGTGGATGAACTCGGGGAACTTGGTTCAACATGTCACGAGGACCTCACGAGGACCCAAGAAGTGAAGGAACAGGGCGATCCGGGATGCCTTCCATGCCCCATGCCCCATGCCCTCATAACACCCACTCCTTCACTGAGTCGTCCCTTGGAATCCTGATTTCTGTGGTTTGGTTTAAAAAAATCAAACCAAAAACGCGGATTCTCCGGTTCTTTGGGTGACGAAGCTCCAAGGATTTGTCTGGGGGCAAGTGAGGTAAGCAACTACTGACAGGATCATTGGAACCTCTTGGAACGAATGCGAAGAACAATTCTAGGCGACGGCCAAAAGTGCAATGCGATGACGGGATGGGGCAAATCCTTTCTTCAGCTGCAGGACTTTCAATGCCACACCGGACGGTCCAAGGAGCAAAAGTAGCACAGATGCGCTGTTCCTCTTGCTGCAAACGTCCGCGCCCGCGGCGATGAACCTGGGCGTTGTTTCATGCAGTTTCCCCATTCACTGTAGCCAGGAGGGCTCCAAAAACCTTGAGTCTAGTACTTCAATGAGTACTTAGAGCCCCAAGTTCAGGTGGATGGGAAAGTGATTATCATTGATCATCTGCTTTTGACCATCACGATGAACTCCATAGGCCACACATGTCACCGAAGATCAAGCTACGGCGAGACCGTGTGGCTGCTTTGGAGAAATGTACAGGTGTAGTCATATTGTATTATATATACAGATGTGGTAAATAAAGAGCCTCAACAACACAACACTACTGGAAGGAGAAGGAAGGAGAAGGAAGGAGAAGGAAGGAGAAGGAAGGAGAAGGAAGGAAGAGGAAGGAAGAGGAAGGAAGAGGAAGGAAGAGGAAGGAAGAGGAAGGAAGGGGAAGGAAGAGGAAGGAAGAGGAAGAGGAAGGAAGAGGAAGGAAGAGGAAGGAAGAGGAAGGAAGAGGAAGGAAGAGGAAG